AGAGCGCGGCGGACATGAGTCACCAGTCGAGCGGCGAGAAGGCTGCCTAACAGCTCTAATCTCGGCAGACTCACTGTCTTCACCGGCGCCACTCTGCCCTTCGCCATCACCAGTGTGACACTGTGCGAGCCATCTGACAGCGGGGAACGGAGGTACACTGTAGCACCGTACCCACTCGGGGAGGCGTCGCCGAAAGCATGTAGCTCCGCCCCCGCCTCTGCGCCACTCCAGCCCTCGACTGAGTAGGAGCGAGGGACTTTGAACTGCTTTAGCGTCTCCAGACCATCTAACCATCTGGTGAAGACTGAGTGACTTTCAGCGGGCAACAACTCATCCCACTGCAGCCCCTGCTGCCACAATGTTTGGAATAGGCACTTAGCCACCATGGTGAATGGAGTTAGAAACCCCAGAGGGTCGAAAAGTCTGGCCATAAAGCTCAATACTACACGTTTGGTCGGCACGACATCGTCAGGAATCGAAACACCTTCGAACATGAACACGTCCTCCTTCGGAATCCAACTTAGCCCCAGCACTTTGATGCTCTGGCCTTCCCCACCAGACACAGCATTGTCGAACAGCAGAGTGCTGTTTGACCTGCATTTGGCCAGACACATGCCAGCATCAGCCACGACAGACTGAGCCTCCGAAAGGAGACTACGGGCTTCCTCCTCAGAGTCCGCTCCTGACAGAAAGTCATCGACATAGAAGTTAGACTGCATCTCGGTCACCGCACGTGACGCGTCATACCTGGCGAGGTGATGACGGAGGGTCGCGTTCAGAAGAAAGGGACTGCTGCACGTCCCGAAGCTGACCCTGGTCACTCTCATCACCCGTTCTCTGCCGCCGCAGAGCCAGATGAAGCGATGCACGTCTCGATCTTCTCTCCGAAGTCCAATCTGGAGAAAGGCTTTGACGATATCCGCTGTCACGGCATAACGCCAGCGCCGAAACCTTAGTCGGACATCGACCAGGTTAGGCATCAAACAGGGACCCACCTCCAAGCAGTCATTTAGACTGACACCGTTCGGACCACACACGGAAGCGTCAAACACAGGGCGGACCTTCGTGGTTTCACTGCTCTCCTTCACCACCGGATGGTGAGGGAGATAGAATGTGGGGTGAGAGACCACAATCTCCTCACTCGGGACCTCCTCGATCATCCCCGACTCCTCCAATTCACTCAGCACAGCATCATATTTAGAGCGAAGGTCGGGATCTCTATCAAGTTTTCGAGTCAAACTCCTGAGGCGGCACCTCGCGACCGGCAGGTTACTCTGAAGCTCAGGGGCATGGTCACCCTGCTTCCAAGGCAGTGCGACCTCATACCTGCCATCGCTGAAGCTGACTGAGGACTCGAAATCCTCCAACACCTTCGAACTGGCCGGCTCCTCATCAGAACGGATGCCGACGCCTTCCAGACTCCATAGGTTACGGACGGCGTCCTCGTGCAGATCACCAAGAGTCAGCAACTGGCACGATGTACTGCCTGCAGCACAGAGTCCAGAGGAGGTCACGCCAGACACGATCCAACCCAGTGAGGTCTCCTGGGCTACTAGTGACCCTTCTGAACATCGAATGAAGCCCTGCTGTACAAGACTCCAGTACACGTCAAGACCGACCAATATATCCACAGACATCTCGCGGTTCTCACTATAGCTGTCAGCCAACTCAACCCCTACGAAAGAGGCGAGGGCTGTCCGAGGGACTCTGGGTCGCTGCAGGGGGGAACAGATCACTGGTACTTCCACAGCAGTCAACAAACACTCCACAGGTTTGGACAAGTTGGCTCCACTCACACGGAGCCCCCTCACAGCCCTCTCACAAGTGGATTTTCCCCCACCAAAGGCTGCATACGAGACAGACTCAGAGCCGAGCCATGTAGCGCCCACCTTTTTCACCAACTCTTCCGACACATAAGTTCTGTCTGACCCTGTGTCGAACAACAAAGTCGCTAGGACTGAGCCATGCGCTCCATGTACCAACACTCGAGCAGTGGGGAGCACAACACATTGATCATCACCACTGTTACACGACAGAGACACACGAGTCTCTGAAACCTTAGGACTAGTAGAGCTTGACACACCAGGGGGCTCTGCTACCCTCCCCTGACTAGTCTTCCCCTTCGAAAAACAACACAGCTTGTGGTGGCCACCGCCACACAGCTCACACTTTGACTGGCACTCCCTCGCCCGGTGTGACCCGGACAAGCAGCGAAAACATGCCCCAGACTGCTTAATCAAGTCGTGTCTCTGCGAAACTGAGAGCTTGAGGAGCTCATGACACTCCACTGACCTGTGTGCCTTTCCACAAAATATACATACCCCTGATGATGCAGTCAGAGCGGCTCCAGATGGAGTCCGCGCCTGTCTCACACAGTCCCTGAGAGGCTGGTTCCTCCCAGCCGGTCGAACATCCTTGTGAGGCTGGCTCCTGCCAGCTGCTCGGACGTCCCGGGCCGGCTGAGTTGTCCCCAGCAGCTTGGTGAATGCTCCGGACCTTTCCCTCCTCTCAACTTCTGCTGCCAGGAAGTCCATCAGTGCATTGAGGTCCGCTTCTTTGCCTGGGCCAAGACGGGCCCACTCCATCCTCAGGTCAGGGTTCAGTTTACTGAGGATCATAGGAACCAAGAAAATGCCGTACTTATCACCAGTGACCTCAAGGGCTGACAGGCTACGCACATGGATCAGGACATTGTCAATGAGGGAGCGAAGGGACTGGGATGTTGAAGACAGAGGACCAGTGATAGCTAGGAGCTGCTGAACATGATTGAAGATTATCACTTCAGGCTTCCCAAACCTCTTTGACAATAAATCGCATGCTACTTGATAGTTCGCTGATGTGAGCGACAGACCAGCAACACATCTTGCCGCCTCACCTTGCAAGCATGACTGTAGGTACTCAAACTTGACCACGTCTGGCAACTCTCGTTCACCAACAGCTGCACCGAATCTCTCCCAGAAGGGAATCCATTTAAGTACATCCCCATCAAAGCTAGGGAGATCTAGTCTCGGGAGCTGAGGGCTCAAAGCTGACACAGATGCAGAGCTTACAGCTTCAGGCACGTTACCTTGTCTGCCATCAGAGACAGCAGCAGCTACCATCTTGTCAGCTCTTTCAATGGCTTCTGTCACTTCATCTCTGAACAATCCAGCCTTGATTATATCTTCCAGCATGTCATCTTCAGATTCGAACAGAACTTCCAACTCCAACTGGATGCTGTCCAGTTCCTCTAATCTGCTCTTAAGTTCACTGCGAACAGTCTGTATCCTTGTAACATCAACATCCTGTTCACAGTCATCCAGAACCTTAGAGAGCTTGTTCTTTGTTCGGCTTACCCAGGCCTTGGCAGCTACTCGTCTCTTCTTCGCTTTCTCAAGATCTGCCATATCTCAAGACAACTGAAAACAAATTGAAATGCACACTCGAATAGCACACTGAGTAAATCAATCCCGGTCTTGTCCCCGGCCTTCGGCACCAATGTAACGAAACGACCGGCTCAGCTTGCTTCACCACGTGTGCTTATATTTTCTGCGCACATTACCGGCGCACAACCACCGCACTTCAACTTCACACATAATTTCGACTTCCAGAGTGTATTGGGTTTGACGTCCAATACAGATAACGACGAACGGTAGGTGCGTTATTGCTCAGCTCGTCCCAAGGGACCGACGAAACCAACGACGAAAACTGCTCGACACTGTCGTGACCGGCAATCGCACCGCGCCACGACACGAACTCGAATGAATGCTAATTCAATGCCTGCCGCTAGATGTCTCCCAAGCTAATTCAATGCCTGCCGCTAGATGTCGTCTACATTATTTACAACACATACGAATACCTGCCAATGAAATGATCCCCCATTTTATTTATTGTGGGTATGTACGTACATTTACCTGATAATGTATTTTTTACCCGCTCTCTCACAGGTACATACTTGCACAGTACATAGTTATATGTACACAATTACAGAATTTGTCTATAATAAATGCATATCACTTATGCATACCTAGAACATTGTACATCTCTATAACTGGGTAGGTATGTTCTAACTGGGTACCTAGATCGCCACAAGAGGTGGTGGTATTTAGTGGTCTTATGTCTTTTCCCTGTTTGTCTTTTACTTCTTCTCGAACTTTTATCCCACATTTTTGTTTTGCCCTTTTCTTTTTGTTAAGCTTTGCTTTTTCTCCCTATAAACATCATACAGTACGTACAGTACTAACTGTATGTCTTTGAATCATCGCCATCGCTCAATGACCTATCTTTCTTGCTATTTACATTACTTGCTATTTGTATACCGGTCGTCTCGTCTTGTTTTGTGTACTTACAAGTCACACTTAAGTTCTCCTGGATACGTAACAATACGTAAATCAGCCCTACGATACTTCCCACCGACCTGGGTTTACCGAGCAACAAGCTTGCTTAGCTCGGTATCCCTTTTCGGTGAGGATCTGACTCCTCCGGGTGTGACTAGGCTCTGTCCCTCTTCTATAATGCAAGCTTTGCATGCGCTTATTACCACTAACCCCTGGATCACTCTCTCCTTCTCACTATCTTCTTTGGGAATGGTGTAGCGGCCAGTCAAGCTACATTTAGTCTTGACTTCTTTGCCTCTTCTTATGACATTTTACTAACTTACTAAGTATTGTATTTAGCTTTGTTTTTGTTTGCTTTCCTTTTTCTTAGCAGGGAGTGTCGCGACTTTCTTCATATTTTTGTCTTGGGAGGTGTTAACGTAAGGTGCTGTTGTCGCGTGGGTCAGTGGGTGGACACTCCTGGTCGTCTGATCATGGGCGGCGGCTTAGAAAAAAAAATGTTCATGTATGGCAACCCATTAAAACCCTTCACCCTCCTTTGTTAACAAAAATTACGTCGTTAAACACTGCACAGATATTATTGTCGTTATGCGTATTTAGGCATCAATTTCTACCTTTCTGATTGGACGCCGCCCGCGGGCTGCCCCTGACGTCCCCCCCCCTCCCCTTCTCCCCCTCTGACAGGTGGAGGTGAAGCCATCCCTGCTCCAGATCAACCTCACCAACTGCTGCTCGGTGCCCGACGACCTGCGGGACTTCTGCCGGCAGCGGGACGTCCAGATCCTGACACACAACGACGCACAAGGTGATAGTCCCTGCGGGGCGCCGGCGCCGGCGGGCGGAGTGGGTGACACGCGAGCTTACGTGCCAGCTCCCGCAAACAATTAGGGGTCAATGTCAACAGATGGGCGAGTGGTGCGATTGCCATCAGTTTTGGCCTTCGTCACTCTTTTACGACAGTCCAAAACAGGCTAAACAAATATTCTGGTCACGTCACTAGGTCAACATATATTACATGCATTTGGATAAGGACGGAAGACTGCTGAAGCAACTCCTCTCAAACGGACACTATAAGCCAGGTAGTCTCTGAAAATATACTGGGTAAAGATGACATCCATAAACTTCAGCATAGAAATGGGCATTTCTTAGGAACAAATGTCCAATGAAATTTATTTATGTTTGCGTACTGTAATAGTTTCATTCGCCTTTCTCGGCGTCAGAAGCGATCGCTAGCTCACTGAGAGTCATCAGCTTAGCAGTGTGCCGTTAGTAGTCACGATGACATTGTGCGACCATCGTTAGCAAGGGTGACGGTGCAGGCACAGCGCCAGTCACGGCGGCGGGGGCCTCTCAAAGCGCCGAGACACGGTGACTCAGCTAGACCGGGCCGCTCGTACGGCGTCAGAGCGGTGATCGTTGGCAGTCGCTCCTTGTTAGGTCGAGCTGCCCCGGGTGATTGGCAGACGTTTGTCTAGTGGAGTCGAGTCACTGTGCTTGTTTTTGCATCACGGGGAGTGCTGTCACACTGATATACTGGTGTGGTGGGATGATATAGTCACAACTGTCTGGTTAAAATCTGATTGTGGACATCTCTGGGTGATTGTAGTGTATTGCACTCACACATACATCACTCGCACTCAAGACTGAACAGTGAACATTCAACTCGACTAATGTGCCCCGCGCCCTTGCCGACGGCTCGCCGGCGGGCACCCGACTCCGTCTCCCGGCCGGCCCGGGCGCGGCGCCGCGGCGCGACCGTCCCGGTTACCTGACCCGGCCGGCTAAAGGTCGGACCGGCTCCGGCCGCCGCTGCCAGCCCGCGGCGGGCCCGGGGAGGGGTACTACACTACATTCCCTTCCCCCCGAAGCGCTCATCTCCACCAGCGCCTCGTTGCCCATCCCGCTCGCGTGCGGTACGGGCCCTCCATGTTTCCGGCGTCCGCGACGTCGACGTTAGAGGCATTTCCGGCAGAGTCGTTCCAGACGTCTCCACCTACGTCGACTTCGGCCGATCCGCCGTCGCCTGTCTCCACTGCGACGGTCCCAGCGCCGCCTCCGGCGCCGTCAGGAAGCTGGTCAGGCCCAACAGCCTCTCTTCTCTCGGCTGTCTCCACGCCGACAGTCTCGGCGCCGCCGCCGGCGTCGTCAGGAAGCAGATCAGGCTCGTCAGCCTGTTCTCGCCCGCCTCCTCCGGGAACGTCAGGCCGGCGGACAGATGTATGACACGGGGAGAGTCGCTCGGCATGGACTCTGATGCCACCCTCCAGCTCGAACGACACGGGACCACGCTGTGCGGTGACGACACATGGCTTGGAAAACCGAGGTTTTCCCTTGCGCGGCCTTGGCATCAGGCGATAGCGAACGACATCGCCTACCTTTATGTCGGGCTTCCTTGCCGTTCGGTCATGATACCGCTTCATCTTTCGCTGCTTCTTCCGGACGTGCTGTTGGATGGCGCCGTCACCTCTGCAGTCACTGCTCTGCACCACGGCGTTCTCCAGTGACGTCCGCAGCTGGCGGACGCACCTTGTGGACGAATCCCTTGATGGCTGGCAGCACCTGATCCTGCTTCACCTGGCAGACGACACTGCCACGGCTCACCGTGACTCCGAGCTGATGCTGGAGATCACGGCCCATGATCGGTACATCACCCACCGCCACGTACAGTTCCGCTGGAACGGAGAGCTGGTCCGGTCCTGTGACGTCAGCTGACATCTTACCCAGCACCTTAATGCCGCTGCCGTTCCACTGGGCGAGCTTACCCGCAGGACGGAGAGGGACGTGACTGAAGAGCTGCCAGTACGTCCTCGCTGGGACGATGCTGACCGCCGAGCCGGTGTCAACCAGCATCCTGACACGCTTCATCTCAATGAAGGCATCATAGTACGGGCACGACACTGTCTGAACGACCGGACATACGTCATCCTTAGCAGACACGGACAAAATCTGCACATTGTCAACAGCACCGGTCTTGTTAGAACGAGGACAACACTTGCTTAAGTGTCCGACAGTGTTACACTTGAAACATTTCAGGTTCCTCGCTCTGCACTCCTTGTCATTTGCCCAGTGACCCGGTCGACCACAGGCACGACACGTACCTGACTTCTTCACAGGAGGCTGACGCTGCGTCTGCTTACGCGCTGAGTCACTGCGGCTCGTGCTGCGCCGCTGCCCAGTATACGCCACCTCCACCGCAGGAGCTGAAGGTGAAGTCGCACCGGCAGATGAGTCGTGCAGTAGAGCTTTTCGCTGCAAGCCCCGGTCGTGGGCCTCGGCCACAGCCTCTAGCTTGGAGAGAGATAGGTCATCAATCATTATCAGCTTGTCACGAAGCTGGTCAGAGCGACAACCCTCGATAAACTGATCACGCAGTATGTCGTCAGTCAGGGCACCATAACTGCAACAGGCCACTGCCTCGCGGAGGTTGGCCAGGAAAATCACACATGACTCATCAGGGCCTTGGGTGCATTTCCGGAATTTCAAGCGAGCAGAACGAACATCAGAATCGCTCTCAAACAGTTTCTTGAAAACAGCTACAGCAGCATCGAACTGAGACACAATTACAGCACCAGCGCCGCCGGCGTCAGTGTCACTTATTCCAGGTTCGATGTTCTCCTGCTTGGTAGCTGAAGCAGCAGCTCGGTAGAGTCGACGTGCCTCCGCTCCGACTGCTGTCAACAGGAAAGCTGTCCGACGACCGTCCGTCCAGTCCAACCACCCGCTGGCCTCAGCGAAGACCAGGAAGTCCTCGTACCATTGTCGCCAGCTCCCAGGACGCTGTCCCGGCCGCGACAGGAACTCCGGTGGCGCCGGTGACTGGAACATGTCGTCTTGAATGCAGTCCGCTTATCTCAGCCTCTTGTCGCCACTTGTAGTGTATTGCACTCACACATACATCACTCGCACTCAAGACTGAACAGTGAACATTCAACTCGACTAATGTGCCCCGCGCCCTTGCCGACGGCTCGCCGGCGGGCACCCGACTCCGTCTCCCGGCCGGCCCGGGCGCGGCGCCGTGGCGCGACCGTCCCGGTTACCTGACCCGGCCGGCTAAAGGTCGGACCGGCTCCGGCCGCCGCTGCCAGCCCGCGGCGGGCCCGGGGAGGGGTACTACACTACAGTGATGAAGTGACGTAACCTATCTCAGACTGCTGATTCTCCGGAACCTCGAAATTGAGCGGACAACTTTAGTGTCATCGTGTGTTGAGCATTTTAGCATATAACCTGGAGTTATACTGGGGCGCGTCCAGTTTAGGTAATGCCAGTGCAGTGTACTATGACATGCTACGTTACTACCAATGTCTCACTCAACTCCTATCCATTATCGCCCCCTTATTTCCCCTTACCACTTCTTCTACCCCATTTACCCCAACCCCTGCGCTGACTCTGACTTGCCGTGACACCTACTCTGACCCTCCCCCCCCCCACAGAGGTGCTGCCGGGCGCCGTGCTCCGGCCGCTGCTCTAACTGCCCCCCCCCCCGCCCCCCCCCCCCCCCACAGAGGTGCTGCTGGGCGCCGTGCTCCGGCCGCTGCTCTAACTGTCCCCCCCGTCCCCCCCCCCACAGAGGTGCTGCCGGGCGCCATGCTCTGGCCGCCGCTCTAACTGTCCCCCCCCCCGCCCCCCCCCCACAGAGGTGCTGCCGGGCGCCATGCTCTGGCCGCCGCTCTAACTGTCCCCCCCCCCCCCGCCCCCCCCCCCCCCACAGAGGTGCTGCTGGGCGCCGTGCTCCGGCCGCTGCTCTAACTGTCCCCCCCGTCCCCCCCCCCCCCACAGAGGTGCTGCCGGGCGCCATGCTCTGGCCGCCGCTCTAACTGTCCCCCCTCTCCCCCCCACACAGAGGTGATGCCGGGCGCCGTGCTCCGGCCACTGCTCTAACTGTCCCCCCTCTCCCCCCCCCACACAGAGGTGATGCCGGGCGCCGTGCTCCGGCCACTGCTCTAACTCTCCCTCCTCCCCGACTGTCGCCCCTGCCCTGACCGCCCCCCCCCCCCCCCCCAGAGGTGCTGCCGGGCGCCGTGCTCCGGCCGCTGCTCTAACTGCCCCCCCCCCCCCGACTGTCGCCCCTGCCCTGACAGCCCCCCTCTCCTCCTTACAGAGGTGCTGCCGGGCGCCGTGCTCCGGCCGCTGCTCTCCAAACACCTGGCCCTGGCCGAGCCGCAGCGCTGGTCGCTCGTCTGGTCCCTGCGCTACCTGGTCATGGTACAACACAAGGGAGTCATCAAGAACAAGGGCTACGTCGTGCACGTGGCGCGCTCCTAGGCTCGTCCCCCGGCGCGGCTAGGCTGATTATCACTGGCTCGACAGGTAATGTGACACAGAAATGCCATCAGCCGAGCGCACCGGACGGACGGACGGGTACTCGGTGGGGACGCGCCGGTCTAGCTGCCAGTAACGCGCTCGTGGTGCCTTCACTTCACTCTGGCCATCTGTAGGCAGGTGTTTGTTGTGTTTCTGCACATTCCCCGCTGTGAGGAGGACGACTATACGCCTGTCGGGGCCAGGGAGTAAAGAGCTTAGGAAATCAAGTACTTAGTAATAATCAGGTCCTAGGATATGACGTGATTTTATACCTTGGGTGGGATTAGATACGATGTAACTAGTAATGCGAAAATCTATACGGGAATGATACTCTATACATTTATATTCATCGCTAAAAATCACTTTTTCGTGCATTTTCCCTTCAATATCTTAGAGATGGTAGTTTCATCACAGTTTCTGAGGGACTAGTTCATTAAAGTATTCTCACTAATAAGAGGGTAAGAGATTTGCGATGGTACCTTCCTAGAAAACCAACTAATCACGACGTGGCCATTTATAGACGCTAGTGACATTAACGAAGGTGTGCTATTATTGTACCTACGTATGGCGGTAGACGGGACTGCTGCTGTTGGCTTGTGCAGTAGTGCCCCTTTTTCTCCCATTCAGCTGAGTCGATTTATGAAACTAACTGGGAAGCATTCATGTATCGTGCAATATAGACCAGATGTGCTTATTTTAAGTGCAATATTCTATGTGTTTGTGGTAGTGAAATGTTCTGTTCTCATTTTTCGTTAGTAATGAGTTCGCATTGCCGACGCCAGTAACCAGTTGGCAATCAGGTAATGTGAATGTGGAAAATAAATGAACTCAGGCTCCGCTGCTCTATGCTGCTGGGCGTCGTCGCTGATGTGGCCTCTTTTGTGAGGCGATAAACGCGGCACAAAGCGCAGACGTCGGTTTATGAAAATGAATGGCCGACCTGGGTATTGTGGTGCGGGCTGCGAACTAGAATCGAAGGCGAACTTTATTCTGAAGGTGCTAGGAGGAACTTGGAAAGAAGGAGTGTATCACTCGACAGCACTACAATGAACCGAGGAGCTCGAGCAGAAGCTTTACTTGTTCGTACCTGAATTCCATATCTGCTTAACACGTTGGAGTTTGACGATATGTCTTCGAATGAAATACGAGCAACTGCAGTCATAAGACAGTTTCTTGCGCCGGTCACACGCCGTCCGTCTCGCGACTGGTCCATGCTTTATAATTGTATGGTAGCGGCATTGAAATTACTTTCGCCGCCCACGCTCGACCTTTATCCACTTATCGCCACATGACGGTCAGAATGTCTGACAACAACTTCCCGGCGCAGTTGTTGACGGACGTCTATCGGCAGTTTGAGTGGTTCCCCGTCCATTTAGCTGAACTGAAACGGGGCTGTATCGATGTCTTATTTCCGGTCCGGTCAATCGAGTGTGCTCCGTCCCCTCGGGCCGGCCGGCGCGCCACTGCCGGGCCCTCCCTCTCCTCTGAGCTGGCCAGCCGGGCGGCCACAGTCTCACCATTGGGTAGCGCTATTTATAACCGGCCCATATCGCAGCCGAAAGAGACTGTAATTTACTGCCACACCGGCCGAGTCACGGAATTTGGACATAACCGGTCACCGGACACCGATACAATTACACAATGCAAGTGAACAAAGCTGGATTGAGCCCACACATTACACAAATCATTAAATTCGTCATTCATCGCCTTTGCACAACACCCATCCCGACATCTCCCGAGATACTACAAAACGCATGTCTGATAGACAAGCCATCTCTTTCAGATATGAGCATGCATTCATTCATTCCTACAGAGATGCATTCACTGATGTATGCTGCTCGCATTCTAAAATCATCCCAGCTATGACGTTTGGAGTCGCCTCTGGGATACCCTTACATCAGACGGCAGTATGAGAATTTGTGACGGGTGGCCTTCTATGCAGATATATGCATTATTCTCCAGCGGAGGGCGGCCTGCACCGGGTGCAGATCTCTGATCCGCGGGCGTTGATCCGATATCGAACCCGGAGCTCCAGCTCTCGGCAGGTAGGTACTTACACACAGCCGCACGTGGCTCGGTCGCCGGTCCCATAGTGCTGTGTTCGAGGAATTTCCCGTGTCGGTACCGGGGAGCTCGGCCCGACCGGGCTCGGCTCGGCGGGGCAGGGGAAGACCCCCGAACCGGGAGAAGCGGTTCGCGGGTGCTCCCCGATCTCCAAGCTCGGTCGGAGCGAGGCTGTAGGATAGACAGTATGCTCCCCGATCTCCAAGCTCGGTCGGAGCGAGGCTGTAGGATAGACAGTAGGTGGGATGTGATTTGAACAATCCGGTGTACAGTCCACAGCAGAAGTAATGTGGGGTTTCAGTCATGGGTATGTTCTGCTTCTGAGTTCTGAAGCTTAGGAACGATTAACCAGACTACAATGAAACTTTGAATGTAGCTTATATGTATCGTCACCCTTGCAGCTGCAACTTTAGCTATTGACATCTTCTTTTCGATCACTCCGCATTAACCCGCGCCCTGCTGGGGGGGGGGGGGGTGTTTGAACACCCCCCCTTGTGGTTTTTCGCGAATATCTCAAAAACGGCGGCGCGGAGCGCCGCCGTTTTTGGTACACCTTATCATACATCAATTCTACACATGTTGTGAAAATTTCAGACCAAGGTCATTCAAGGTCAGGTCACCAGGTCACTTGAAGTGACCTCACCTCATAAAAAGTTTCAATGTCTGTCATAGCTACACCGAGTGACCGATCGCTTTGAAACTTTCAGCGATTGCTAAGAGCAATAGCATGTACAAAATGTATATCTCAGAATTTTAATATCGATGACCTAAGGTCAGGTCAATTTTGCGACCTCCCCATTATAAGTCAATGGGAGAAAATTGAAATGCGCCTCTTTTGGACGAAAGACATTATAAACACTCCCAAACACTGAATTACAGGTGGTTTAGACACACTGAACATGAAAATGGTGTCCGTGACCCCTGTTTATGCCCTGAGGTCATCTTAGGTCACGAATGGTATCTAACAGTTTTTCGCAAATAACTTTTGATAGAGGCATGCTAGAGCGATGAAAACGCCTTAGATGTGTTCAGCTCGACGATACGGATCGACTGATATGCAGCATGACCCTTTCCGGTCAGGTCATGACCTTGACCTGAGGTCAAATTTTCAAGTTGACCTTTCAAGGTCAAGTTATAGTTCATTCGATGCGTCTTGACGAGAGGAACACGATGCCGGTAAAAGTAAGCTCGTACAAGGCTTGGGTCAAAAGTTATTGCAGAAAAACTGTTTCCGAAAAAAATCGGCTATTTTTGCAGTTTTTGCCCCCTGCAGGCAAAACCGTTGACGTTAGGTCAAATCTGAGAAAATTACTCAGAAAGGGCGTTAATAGGGCTATCGAATGCGCTTTTCCGCGGCGCTGTAGCTCTATTGGTTCCCGAGTTATGCGTTGGCTTCTTGGAAATTGTCGACATTCGACCTGGAAATCGGCGAAATTTTGCCTTCAATGACCTCTGGTGACCTGACCTTTGACCTGACCAAAAAATTGACCGAAGTGATTTCCTCTTTATTTTTGACGCTCTTTCGAACGCCGCTTTCCGCGTATCGCTACGTGGCCCAGGAGCCGAGTTAGAAGGGGGGGGGGGGTGTTCAAACACCCCCCCCCCAGCAGGGCGTGGAAATCCAGGACCCCCAGCCGGGCGCGGGTTAACCCTCGCCGGCACAGGGGGGGGGGGGTTGATGCAACCCCCCTAAGGTTTTTCGCGAATAACTCGCGTAAAAAGCGGCCGATCGCGACGAAACTTTCAGTACCCTCGCATTGATCAATTTTACACCTACCCTGAAAATTTCATGACCCTGACCCCAATGACCTTTGACCTGTGACCTCTTTTCTGTGACCATGTTTGGCCGAAATCGCGGTTCGGCGCATGTCGGCTCGCATTAGCCGCGCGTTTGCAAGCTTTTCGTGGTTTCAAACGTTCAAACATGTGATTTGATGTTGCTCCCATGCATAAGGGTGGGTGTCAAGGTCACCTGAAGGTCAGGTCAGGTCATTGACCTTTGGTGACCTCGGTTTACTTTTTCGAGTTTTACATGTTTCTAGGCTAGTTTTTGGAGCTGAATTCGAATTTAGCAACCATTTGAACATTTACGAAGTAGTTTTGGTGCCTTCGTAACATGTTACGAAGCTGTCCGAGGCGGTTGACTCGTATTACGAATACCCGTCACAACCCCTACCGGTTGACCTGACCTGACCTGACCCGACCTGGCCTAAATGCTTAAAGACATCATCTCTGATCAAAACTAACACGATATTCGTGATCAGCACCCCGGAAAACCACATAGCAGCCACACTTTACGACTTTCTAACAGGTCCCGATTTTCCCGGTTTTCGGGTCATTGACCTGACCTGGAAGGTCACCCGATGACCTAGGACCTTAAAATTGGGTATCATCGGCTTCCTCTCGTGACGGGCAACACGCTCGTTTTTTCCGCGAAGCTCTAGCTCGATCAGGGGCCAAACGCGAGGGGGGGGTCGTACCAACCCCCCCCCCCCCTTGTGCCGTCGAAGGACTCAAAATGGCCTGTGCCGACTGCCGGCGAGGGTTAAACAATCGCCAGTCAAAGCCAACCGTTGAGATTGGTAAAACCCTACATTACTTTGGCGGTGGGCTGTACCTACAGATTAACCCTCGCCCTGGCAGGGCATTTTTCATAACACCGCCTGGCAGGGGGGGTCGATGCGACCCCCCCCCTCGCGATTGGCTCCTATGGCACCTAGAAACACCAAATTTGGTAGGTAGGTGGGACCCCTTGAGTTCTCGCCCCTGTGCAAATTTGGTTGCTCTAGGTCAATATTTAGCGGGGTGTTGGGGGGTATAAATGTAAAAATTTCGCTAAAAACAGGTGAAAAGTTTTTCGCTTATAACTTTTGATCTAGTTAAGATAGAGCAAAAAGAAAAGCACCAGTGAACTCAGCACGTCAAGGCACGTCGAATGATATACTTTTTAGCTTGCACTTAAAGTTTTTCTTAAACTTTAAGTAAACTTTAATTAATTAATTAAGTTCAAGTTAACTAAATTGCATCATATCGCATATCATTCGATTCGGCTGATCACCAGGAACACAATGATACCATTTTTTAAGCTCTAGCGTCATTATGTGCCAAGTTATTGGCAAAAACGTCATTTGACCTCAGTTGACCTCATTTGACCTGACCCATGGATAAGTACACCAAACAAAGAAGCACCAAGTGACCTGCTGCTATGTACTGTGGTTTCAAAGCACAAAAGTGATAGAACGAAGCGGATATCTCCAGTATTTTCCGAATTTAGTATTTTCCCATAGGCTTAACATTACGACGTAATGACCTCTAACTGACCTCAGGTCAGTGACCTCAAAAAAACCGAACTATATGTTATACAACTCGGTGAACTTAGCACACCCTGAAAGTTTGAAGGAAATCAGTCCAAAACTGTGAGTTGGACAGGTGCAAAAAGAAAATTGAAATCTGACCATGACCTTGTACCGGTTTTTCTGACCTGGTGACCTGACCCAAGGTCACCCGGACCTGAAATTTTCAGGTCATATGCAAAAAGGTTGCCCCAAAGGCTGTGCCAAATTTGGCGGCGCTGCGCGCCGCCGTTTTTACGCTATCTTCGAAAAACCTTAGGGGGGGTCGCATCGACCCCCCCTCCCCTGCCAGGGCGAGGGTTAAATCATGTTGGAATGATTCACTAGCTTATAAGTCGTGTTTTGATTGAAAAATGGTCCCTGTAAACTTCCAATGCTTCTCTTGACAATGATTATAGGTATTCTTATTCAGTAAAGGTG